GCAATAAGATGGCCATTATCAAACAACAGAAAGCAAAAAGTGTTGATAAGGATGTGGAGAAACTAGAACATTTGTACATTGCCAGTGGTAATATAAAATGGTATTGCCATGGAAAACAGTATGGTAGTTCCTAAAAAAATTAAACATAAAACCATTATATGATCCAGCAATTTTACTTCTGGTATACACCCAAAGAATTGAAAGCAGGGACAAGAACAGATATTTTTACACCCATGTTCATAGCAACATTAGTCACAATACCCAAAAGGTGAAAACAACCAAAATGGTCACTGACAGATGAATGAACAAACAAAAGGTGGTATATACTTATAATGAAATATTATTCAGCCCTAAAAAGGGAATGAAATTCTGATACCTGCCACAGCATGGATGAACTTTGCAGACATTATGCTAAGCGAAATAAGTAAAGACCTGAAATAGTAAAGGCTCAAAAGGACAAATATTGTATTACTCCACTTATACGAAGCACTTGGAATAGTCAAATTCTTAGAGACACAACGTAGAAGAACACCAGGCGCCATGGCTCACGTCTGTAATCCCAGCACTTTCAGAGGCCAAGGTGGGTGGATCACCTGAGGTCAGGAGTTCGAGACCAGCCTGACCAACATGGAGAAACCTAATAAAAATACAAATTTAGCAGGGCATGGTGGTACATGCCTGTAATCCCAGTTACTCAGGAGGTTGAGGCAGGATAAAACTGCTTGAACCCAGGAGGCGGAGGTTGTGGTGAGCCGAGATTGCGTCACTGCACTCCAGCCTGGGCAACAAGAGCAAAATTCCATCTCAAAAAAGTAGAAGAGTGGTTATCAGAGGCTTAAGGAAGTACAAAATGGGAAATTGTTATTTAATGAGTACAGAATTTCAGTTTGGAATGATTACAAAGTTCTGGAGATGGAGAGTGGTGATGGTTACACGATGACGTGAATGTGCCTAATCCCACTAAAGTATACACTTAAAAAATAAAGTAGTAAATTTTATGTTATATATATATTTTACCACAATACAAAACAAAGGAAAGGGAAAAGAAAGAAATGAAACCACTAGTGGTCTAGTTACCTCTTGGGAACATTCTGGAAAAAATTTGTGCTAACGACAGAAACGGAAGGAAAAAGTTTTAATTCTCCTTTAAACTTTAATAGGTAAATTTAGAGGTTATCGTGGGGCTACACGTTTGAGTGAGTTTCTAGGTATGGGGCATACCTCTTGTTTCCTCCCACTGAGGAGGAAACCCTTTGCTCTTAGTCAAGGGTAATAAATCATATAGTTACATACCTGTGTTGTCTTGTTTGTACTACTCATTGGCATACTGTCTGAAAGAAATCTTTTTTTTTTTTTTTTTTTTTTTTTGAGGTGGAGTATCATTCTGTCACCCAGGCTGGAGTGCAGAGGTGTCATCTCAGCTTACTGCATCCTCTGTCTCCCGGGTTCAAGTGATTCTCCTGCCTCCGCCTCCAGAGTAGCAAATTGTGCTACTTTATCATTTTTAGAGGTTTCACACTTATACTTCAAGATGCTCTATTAATGTAATTGTCAACATGTAAATACCATGTATGTGTATGTGCATATATATATATACGTGTACACGTGTGTGTGTGTGCGCGTGCATGTATAAAAATAAAAAATTAAAAAAAAAAAAAACTGAAAAGCAAGCTGGGTGTGGTGGTGTATCCTTATAGTCCCAGCTCCTCTGGAGGCTGAGGTCGGGGAACTGCTTGAGCCCAGGAGTTTTAGGCCAGCATGGAAAACCTAGCAAGACTCAATCTCTAAATTTTTAACTGAAAAACAAACTAAACATGTCCTAGAGTTTTGAAAAGGATAGACATTCTAGTCACATAGATGTTTCTTATAACTCTTCTTTATAAGGTGAAATAATTATATTAAATCATAATTCACTAAACGCATTCCTGTGGAAAGGTGAAATGACAAGTTCTAAATACATTCCTTTCTGATGGCTTACTTAACACAGAAGTTAGAAAGTTAGTTAGCTTATCTATCAACTTGTCTCTCTTACGTACCAGAAGCCTCAAGCCAATCTTTGGCAAGTGCTAGACTGTAGTCAGTTGGAGACTGCATTTTCTACAAAAATGTCAAGTACCAAACTGCAATGTTGATGAAAAAGAAACCTATATATGATACCAAATATGCAAGAAGCAGAGTTCAATTTCACAATGTTCAGTAGTGAAACTTGAATAGCTGGTCAGCTTACTCAGAAAAGCATCTCCTGCCACATAGGTTGGACCACTAGCTAGCATGCTTATAAGCAAAAGCCTTAAATGATAGGAATAGAGAATCAGAGGAGTTAATCATAAAGCAGCCTGTGGAACTAGTATTGTTAGTACATTAAAAAACTATAGTTGGGAAAAAAAAAAACACTTCACAGAGAAATAAGAACAAAATTATAATCCCAACTCTGCCACGAACTAACTTTGGACGAAACACTTAACCCACATGACCCTCAACTTGTTCATCTATAAAACAGAAGAATTTCAGATTAGGGAGTTTTAAGATTTCTTCCATCTCTAAAATATTACACTTCTGGGATTTAATTATTATTAAACCAAATCAGAAACTTCAAGAGAGACCATTAGTAACAGAGAGGAAATTGAACATAATAAACTGTGAGATGATCACTTCTTGTATTAAAATTTAAAACTCTGTATTAAGTGAGCAACATGTCAAAATCCAGTTTATAGCAAAGCTTAACCTGTCTGCTGAATTCACTTACAAAAGTCTGTGCACATTTAAAGGAAAGTGACTTCCTTTCACCTGATATCACCCAACATTAGGTAACAGCAAAAGGGTGTGGCTCAGAAAATGCACTTAACCATATGTAGAAAGCAATGAGGGACTGGGGAAAACCCTTTTGTTGCTGTAAAATTACTACAAGAATTAACATGTAGTTTCATTCAGTCAAGGCTGAGCACAATTTCAACACATTAACAAGAAAATGAAGATCAGTCTTCCTTGGAACCACAGCTTCCTATTACTGAACAAAATCACCTCCTCCCAAACTAGGAAACAAACAAAGCAAAACTACCAATTCTACAGTGTTTATCCAGAAGCTTAAAATTTCATAAGCTTTTGGTCCAATAATTCTATTTCTACAGTTCTATACCAAGGAAACAATCCTACAAACAGGGAAAAAAAAAACCAAAACTTTATGCCTAAGAAAATCTATCATAGGGTTATTTATGAAAAAGAAGAAATTAGAACCAATATAAATTTAACCAAAAAAGGAGTGGTTAAATAAAGCTATAGTATTTAATGGAATAATAAAATTCAGCCATTAAAAACAGACTATGTAGGAACATTGAAAAGTTTTGAAGTGTTGTGAGGCCAAAAAAAAAAAAAAAAGAAAGAAAAAAGATACAGAATTACATATACAATACAATTCGAGCTGTGTTTAAAATAAATAAAAGTAGAGAAAAAGAGACTAGAAGCAAATTCATGTTAACTTTAGTTTTGTATAACTGATAGGACTATGGGTAAAGTTTCATACTTTTCTGTTATCCAAATTTTATTTAATGATTATGTTTTATTTCAAATAATGTTTAAAAAATTGAATGTAAAATAAATTATTTTATAAATCTTCAAAATATCCCTCTAAGGTACACAGAGTATAAGTCAAGGTTATATAGCATTGGAAACCTTGGAAATGCCCTGAAGTCTTTTTAAAATGCAATGGATTTTAAAGGAAATCCTCCAAAGGAATATTTTTTGTTTTCTTAAATCCTGGAGGATCTTGAGAAGTTAATTCTATGATTCTTACTTTTTAAAATGTAATTCCTAAGGTAAGAGAGGATTAAATCATGGATAGAAGACACTACATAACATCAACAACATGGCTGAACGACATGATACTTCTTAGGTATGCCATCAGTCTTCTAGCAACAAGTATATCTAGATATTAGGAAAATAATTTATCAAGGATCTCTGTCAGTTGATGAACAAGGCCAAAACCTAACTCATTTTCTCAATGACCATTCTCGTGGTATAGAAACTAGACTTTGATATGGTAGTTTATAAGCCAAGAGTTGAAGCTTATGTTTTTAAAATGACAGTGCTTAGTTTTCTTTTTAAATTGAAAGCTACCTAAAAGCCTGGAACTTGCCAGCACACACTCAAGCCCCAGGCACTATTAAATTACGCATTCTTCTTGCTACCTGTTTTTCCAGGTTTTTTTTTTTTTTTTTTTTTCAATTTTGTGTACATCAAGATCTACAGGCACATACCTACATACATGTGTTGCCCCTATTTTTTAGCCCCATATCTGTTTCCTTTGAGATGTGACTACTTAAAATAGTATAAATGCAGACTTTCTGAAAGGCTTCTCTTAGTAAAAATAACTTTTAAGATATAACTTACAGAAGAAATTTATTTTTAAAAATTATTTTCACCTATACTTTAAGTAAAATGTCTCCAATTATGACATGATAGTGTAAGTGCTATTATCCCTACTCTCTTTACCTTTTACTTTTACCATTTCAACTCTGAGTAGGTTATCTTCAAATTTTAAAAAATGTCCCCACTGTGTTATTTTTCACATATTACTCTTTAGTCTTATCTTCACACGTTATCCAACTTCAGAAGCCCATAAAATCTTCTGTTTTTCTGTAACTGATAGAGATGGGCGGAAAGTGCAAAAGAAAGAATAATAAATGGGAAATAGATAAAGTTGTTGTCAATATTTCTTTGAAGCTTCATAAAATTTTATGAAAGTCTTATAAAACCACAATCTTTTCTATTTTATAAGCCATTACCTCAAGAGCCGCTATCAAATACTCAGTAAAACACCCAAAATTAGGAAATATGTTATATAATACCTTTTAGAATACACAGTATTTTAAAATCACACTGTAGAATCCAAATGATGACCCACAGTTTGCAATTTTTCATTGGAGGAACCCTCAGATGCTTCTAAATTTCAATTACCATCCTGTTGTTTCTTTGCCTCTTAATGCTTATTATTTCTTGACTAGTTTTTATGAATATCATATCAAAATTTTGAAGATCAAGTCAGGTAAGTATACAGTTCTCTTATGTATCTATGTGCAGTACATTTTAAACTATTTTGTTTCACTATTTTTTTTTTTGAGATGGAGTCTGGCTCTGTCGCCCAGGCTGGAGTGCAGTGGCCGGATCTCGGCTCACTGCAAGCTCCGCCTCCCGGGTTTTACCGCCATTTGCTCTGCCTCAGTCCCCATAGCTGGGACTATACAGCGCCCGCCACCGGAAACATCGCTCCGCGGCATAGTTTTTTTTTTTGTATTTTTACCGTTACAGGACGCGGGTTTCAGTGTTCGCCGCAGGATGGTCTCCGATTCTCCTACCTCGTGATCGCCCACCCGGCTCGGTCCAACAGTCTGCGCGGACTTCACAGAGCTTGAGCACCGCGCCCGGACTTCGTTTCAACTACATATTTAGCTTAACTTAAAAATAATAAAGATACAAATGTTAAAGTCAATTCACTTCTTACTCTGCTTAACACAGCCCCCAATTATTTTTAATTATTTTTATTCTGTTTAATTTGCCAGAAACTCAGAGATGGTGGTTCCTCTCAGAATGATCACTTTTGTCCTAAGTGGATAAACGATTAGAAAAAAAGAAACCTGCCTTCTTCATATCTAAAACTTTATTATATCATGCCTACAACTATTATACCCCGGTGTGGATTTTTAACAAGAGACAAGTTAATCGAATTCCGTATAAAGTTCAGTTAAGAGTTTTGCAGTTCTTTTTTCAAACCAACACATAAAGCTTTCCGCTACCTTATTTCCCACAAACAAAAAACCTGCACCCCCACCAGCATGAACCACAAGCTGAATAGCCTACCCAGTAAAGTCTTAACATACATTTTATTTTACTTTCATTAATACATTATCACGCGTGAGATCTTCCCAATTGTAGCGGATTAGCGATTAGGTGCCTACAAAAATAAGAATCTATTTAACACTTTTGTTCTCTCCAGGTACTTTAAAAAAGGGGCAGTACGGGGGCAGAGGCGTCATGCTCACGTCTGTAGTCCCAGTGCTTTAGGAGGCCAAGGTGAAGGATCACTTGAGCCCAGGAGTCGCAAGGAATAGCCTGTGCAACATGTGAGAACGCTGTCTCTAGAAAAATATTTCAAAAATTAGCCAGCGCATGGGTGGTACATGCTTGTGAGCTGAGGCAGGAGAACTGCCTTGAGCCCAGGAGTTCAAGGCAGTCCGTGACACGTGAAGTGGCCGTGATCACGCCACTACATTTCTAAACCTGGGCAACACAGACTGTCCCAAAAAAGAAAGAAAAGAAAGAAGCCTCTTCTGCTTCTGTGGTTCTACTTATTAAATTTTACATTACAAATAAAGTACTTGTTATGCAAATTTTCAGCCCAGACCCACTGTTAGGAGAACAATTCTCCATGGTCTCTCTCAAATTACTGTTATGATAATTTGCCCTGACTCCCCTTAGAATGCAGATACATTTTCCTCTGGGAGAAAGGGGCAGGCATGCTTATCAACTATTATATGAGATTATGATTCCTTTAAGCGCAGAATGCCTCTCCTTTTACACTGCCATTTTGAATGTAGCAGGTGGTCATCTAGCCCTCCCTTAACATTGCTCTAATAAGAGTTGGTGCTCAGAGAAATCCATCGAAAAAAAGAAGAAAGAAAAAAAATGCCTATACCCTGGTTACTATCCCATTTCTTATTTTGTCTCTGATTAGGGAGTCTCATGTCTTCTAACAGCATCGCATGAAAACTATAAGTGTCGGGTAACTTGTAAGCTACTAAGTATGTGTAAAATCTCATAACCCTTCACAGTTTATACGCACACCCATTTCTTTAGCAAGATCACTGACCTATTTCCAATTAATCAAGACATCTATAGGCCAGCGCGGGTGGCTCTGCCTGTATCCCAGCCACCGTTTTGGAGGCCCGAGGTGGCTGATCACGCAGGTCAGGGATGAGACTATCCTAGACAACACAGTAAACCGCGTCTCTATAAAAATAAAAATAATAAAAAAATTACCAGGCGTGCGGGCATGCACACCTGTAGTCCAAACTACTTGGAGCTGAGGCAGAACATGGCATGAACCGGCAGGGCAGACGGTTGTAGTGAGCCCGAGGATCATGCCACTACACTCCAGTCTGGGCGACACAGTGAGACTTAGTCTCAAAATTTTTATATATATATATAGACATTTTATAATAATCAACATTGTTTAACATTAGACAATAATTACATTATATAATTAAATCTTAAAGTTCAAAGTTAATCAGACTTAAGGCTTTTATACTTCAAATTTTTCTTTCTACTTCCCATTTATCTGTACCTCTTCCAGAGGATATGACAAAAAAAGGTGAAACTCAAATTAGATTTTTCATTTTGTTATTGCGCTGAAAAAATTTTAATAATGCATAACATATAAGCCAAACTGAGTTACCAGCAAATTTTCATTCTCCTATTCCCAACCTTCTTTATCACACAGATTATCAAAAGTTAACTAATTTTTAGAGAAAAAATTGTATTTAAAAAAATAGGGTGTTGTCGAGATTGCAAAATTTTCTCCAGATTTTCTGGGTAAATAGTCATTAACCCAAAATACCATTCCTGTGAGATATTAAAGGTAAAATATGGATACTGATATATCTATGTTGTTCTACATAATGATAATAATAATAAATGTTTGTCAATTATCTAGGTGAAAATTAAATCATAGTTCTTAAAGTACCCATTTTCCCCACTTCACATACCTCTAGAAAAATTAAATGTACAGAAAACCAAGTTTAGATAGTAAGAATATATTATGAATGATCTTTGATAATGTCCATGATTTATAAGTGCTATTATTTCCCAGATGTTGTAAATCTGAGAATGTTTATTAAACATTACAGTAAATTGATATTCCTGCTTTGCTAGAACCTGAAAGGATTATGAAGGGGCTACCATAGCTATAAAGTAAGAAGAGTGGTATAGGCAGGAACAGCTAGGCAGTATCTCTCCTAGCACTGACAGGTTCACAGGTTGTCCTTCAGGAAGAGACCCATGAGCTTTTTCAATTATTTTCCACATTTCTCAAATCTGAAGTAATTTCCACAGTAATTTATATTCACTATCACATTGTGTCTTATTGCTAGAATAAACTTTGTTTGGAATGCTAATGTCTAAAACTTTTTGCTTCATTAAAAGGCTATGTAACCAAAACTTGGTATTATACTTTCTTCTTACTATCTTGAAATGTTTGTTAAGGAGTTAAAATTATACCACTCTCTACTGAGAGTTTGATCATTGCTACAACACACATAGCCCTGTACCAGACACTGTACATAGGGATTCTCAATGAAAAGTCCTCCAAAATTCAGTGAGGAAGATATATCATCATCATCATCCCCACTCTATCGATGAAGAAACCTGATGAACCTTCTAGCACCAGGTTTCACCTAGAAAGGACAGAGGGGCCTGGCCTTCCCTCCCACAATGTGCCAAGTGGAGTTTGAGCTGGCCCGCACTGCCCTCAAGCAGCTGAAGCGTACTGTGTGCGATCAGGAGAAAACTGCTGGGGTATAGCTTCTACAAACAGCCCGCCCAGAGCGACTGCAACATTCCTGCCCCTTCAGCCTCAGATGTGAAAGCCAAGGCCAAGTAGGAGGCATGGAATGTGAACAAAGGGATGTTTAAGATGGACACCATGAGGATCTATGTTGCCAAAGTGGAAAAGCTGAAGAAGAATGAGGCTGGCTAAGGACACATTAGCAGACACAAGGAAGCAGCACGGCTCCTCTAGTACAGAATGCTCTTTAAAAACTTTGGTGACTGAAATGTCCTGAAACAATAGCAAGTTTAGCTGAGACATCAATAAATCACTTAAACTGCATGACAGTGACTGTCTACTGCTGGAAAAGAGAAACACAGGGACTGTGAGTGCTCGGGAGGTGTCCAAATGTACAAACTGGTTTTTTGTATGGTTTTGAGTGGAGTTCCCAGCTTTCCTATTTTAAGAGTTAGGTAGGCATTTAGCAGGAGTAGAGGTGTTAGGGGGGAAATGTGCTGTGGAAATGCCCAAGGGCTGAAGTCAGTGAGACCATTCTCCAGTGACAGCCTCTTGGGAGGCTGAGGCTCCAACCGTTTACCTCTTCAGGGTTGATTCACTAATAACCCAATACTACAGAGGGGAAAGGGACTCTATCCCCCCAAAAAGCTGAAGTCAAGTCCAAAAGCCCCCATTGGCACGCAGGTCCTAAGAAGTTAATGTTTTTAGGGAGACCAAGCTTTTAGTGATAATATAGTGAAACAATTGATGCAGCACAACACTGCAGTTGAGAAACAATGGAGCCTGTAGTGTCAAAATACCAGCCTCAGAAAGACTCACCTACAGCCTAGCAACCAAAATTTTTTTGAGGTTATTCTGTACCTAACCCTGGTTTCTGCTTGGGGATGTTTGTGGAACAATATGCATATGTATGTATATGTGGGATTTGTTACAAGAACACAGCATACCCCTTGACCTAAGCAAGAGCCAGAGTATCTAAGCCCAACTTTTACTCCTCACTATTATCGTGGAGGCATCATTGCACAGCCAATATGCCTGGTGGCTGGAGTATAGACTGCTAAATGGTATTCAGCGAAGCAGGTCTACAATGACATGAGATTTCCTGGTACTTTTTCCTTAATTAAAAATTATATTCATAGATCATGACATCAGGTCAGTTCCAGTTCTGGCTGGGAACAATAATAGAAACAACAACCGTAAATACTTCAGAGAGGAGACCGAGGCGCGGTGGCTCATGCCTGTAATCCCAGAACTTTGGGAGGCCAAGGTGGACAGATCACGAGGTCAGGAGATCGAGACCATCCTGGCTAACATGGTGAAACCCCATCTCCACTAAAAATACAAAAAAAATTAGCTGGGTGTGGTGGCACGTGCCTGTAGTCCCAGCTACTTGGGAGGCTGGGGCAGGAGAATCACTTGAATTCAGAAGGCAGAGGTTGCAGTGAGCCAAGATCGTGCCACTGGTCTCCAGCCTGGGCGACAGAGTGAGACTCTGTCTCCCAAAAAAAAAAAAAAAAAAAGGCTTCAGACAACAAAGGCAACGAAACCTCACCATGTATCTTCAGGATATTCTGTGCACATATACATATTTGCAGG